AAATATTTTTTTTTCAATTTAAAATTCTCTTTAATTCTTAATTTTCTATTTTTTTATTATTTTCTTTAATTTATTTTTTAATTTTTGTGAAGTGTGCTACGCTAACTCATCTATACTTCTTTTAACATATTTTATGTTTCTTTTTTCAAAGTTAACTACAAGATAGTTCAAAGGATGATCTCGGACGCCTGTAAGTGGTTTCATGACATCATGACTTTGGGAGCTTGGTTCACCGACGATTTAAGTGTAATATCGCAATTGTTATTTATTATGTATTCATAATTTTTTTGTTTAGTAAATGAAATAACTCTCTCTATTTTTTTATCGGCGTTTCCTGATGTAGCATATTGACCTAGCTATGGACTTGTTGCGCGATCGAGCTCAAAGATATCCGAGATCATTCGACATACCTGATTGAGTCATATTGAGCATCGAGTTCCAACGTGCCGTTACCACTGAATATCGGTCGCTCCAACTTATGGGTAATGAGTATACAGTGCCCGACTATATGCTCGAGTGGGCACATGAATGTCCGAGTGTTGGGGAAAAGTCATGGGAGAGTTATATGCATATGTACATTCCAGTGATTGCAAATCTTTACTGCTTTGTCGTGGGGACCGTCTTTGTTGATTATACTATATATGTGTATGACTACGATCATTCCTATCGACACGGGTTCAACTCGAGTTTCACCGGGAGCCAGTAGCTGTGATGGTTCCTTTGATGGCTAGACGAATATAGGTGACTGTGCAGGACAGACTAGCCAAAGTGAGAGACACGATGACGGTGAGACAGTCAAAATCATAAGTACTTATAATTTTTTAATTTGAAAACTTAGTTTTTAACTGTACAGTACCTGACTAATACATTATTATTTATTTGTAGGGGCGATTGTGGCATGTTCGAAATAAATTATATCGATTTTTTTAGTATAACACATAAGATTGATAGAATCTACTAATTTTGGATACAAAATTGGAGGAATAAGTTAGCATGCAATTTGTATGAATTCAATTATGATCCGTAAATATTGTATATTTA